TATTTTATAGCCAAGAAATTTCAAGAGCCGAATATGAATGAATTGAAAGAACCTTAACTGCAGAAGGAACTGGAAGCTTTAAATTATAGCCATTTTTATCGTATTATATAAAAATGTTGATTATGAAAATTCAAATATTGATTTTCGTATTCCTCTTCTACCCCAAAAAGCTTGTCAGCTTCTAAAAGAAGATACTCGTAGAGATAAAAACTGAATACATTAAAAAATATAAACAGAGAATAAACTTACTCCAACCAGTTTGAAAAAACTCAAACCTAAATTGGAAGGTTCTTCATAACTCTGAACAAAACTCAACTCAAACGACGAAAGGTTGGAAATTTCTTTTCCCTAGATGAAAAAGACTTAAAATGGGCTTCACCCATAACCTTTGTTTCTCTGATAAAATTAGAGTGTTATTTTTCGAGAATTTGAAGTTTTTTCAAATACAAAATTTTTCCGCCAAATTTTACGGCGTATCCGCTAATCACGGTGGCCTTTTCCAACCTGTTGCCTCGACAAACCCCTTAATTTCAGATTCGGCTATGTAGTTGCCAAAAAAAAAACAAAAAAATTCAAAAACAGACAAGAAATCAAAACATCGATTTTTAAGAGGGACGTAAACTCTTTGTATAATGATTTCTACAAAACGGTTATACTTGGGAGCTTCTCTTAACTCTTTTTTTGATTGAATCCAAAATCTCATATTCAAGAGGGTAGTTTTCGAGACAACTCAAGTTTAAAAAAACACGGATAAAAAATAGAAAAGTTGGCTTTTCTGAGACCAATGAAAATTTTGTCTAGGAAACTTGGGCGTAGAGGCTCATGCAGGGGAACTTACCACAATCCTTTTCTCCCCTTTGAACCCAAAATCTCAGATTAAGTATGGTAGTTTGCGAGCAAAGTCAAGAAAGGCGAAAACCGAAATCTCAGAATTGGGAGGGTATGTTTCGAGAAAAGTCAAACAGTTTCAAAAACCAGTCAAACAATCATATTTCGAGACGACATCTTTCTGTGTAAAAAGTATTGGCTTAACCACCAATTCAGGGGAGCTTCCCATAAGCTGTTCTCTCTAATAACTTTAAATCTCAGATTTTGGGGGACAATTTTTCAAGACAACTCGAAAAAAAAAGAAAAAAAACTGTCAAAAATCAGAACTTTGCTTTTTGAATTTTAAATTTGATAGAGCAATTTTTCAGAAAATGAAATAAATTTAAAAAAGATCAAAACTACTCACACTTAAATTTTCGAAGTCCGTAGAAAAAGAACAGCGAAATGAGCACACACACAGTGGTTCGCTGGTATTTCTATTGGTACTTGTTTTTTTTAAATCAGTCCAGAAGTTTTCGAGAAAAACATATTTCTGCAAAAAAGCGACAATTTTCCAAAGCGTCTAAAAATTTTAAACCTACAATTTCATAAACACAAAATTATCATATAGTAGTTTGCCACTAAATCAGCAAAATTAAAACAAGCTATTTCACAGAGAAGCAGCGCTTCGCACCACTTGCTATACATGACATAGCATAACAAATTAGCTACGATAAAAAAATTTCTACAATGTCGAGAAAAACTAGACCTACCAAAATTTTCAAACATTTATCTCAATTTGTCTTAAATAAGAAAAATGAGAGATAAATTTGCATCAAAACAAAAAAAGAAGCGGTAACAAAGCCAACAATTTTTGAGGGCACACCAAAAAACTTCACGCTCAACCAAAAATTTAAAAATACTTTCTCACTTTTTTTCCAAAAAAATACCCCCTCGAAAGAATCACACATAAAATAAATCTGTTTCTGTCAGCCAATGGCGCAATATGAGGCCACCAAGCCGATCAGGTATACGCGTAAAAACTTTTCAGCCCAGTCAACAATAAAGAAAAAAACAAAAAAAATGAAATTATTGCCACCCGGAAATTATTGCCAACCAGATTTGTTAAATTGAACCAAATTTTGTTTAAAAAATATAACGTACATTTGATACAAAGACCTGGTGAACTTAGTCTGCTGGTTGGTAGATTTGAGAAAATTCCGAATTGAAAACGCTTGCTAACCTAGAAGAAAGCTGAACGCTCAAAAAGAATCGGTCTACAAGAACTAAGCCAAAAAAATCAACAGACGGACAATAGTCAGAAAAAAAACAGAACATTTCCAGTTAGCAAAAAAACAGGTTCAGACTGGAATCGAAAACCCAGGCTTCGCCGCCTCAAGCAAGGGCGCTACAGCAAATGGAACGAAAACTAAATCTTCAAAAAGAAACGGTCTACGGGAAAAATAAAACAGACGCAAAGCTGCGCTTCGCAAACACCAGCGAGAATAAAGCAGCTTCATAAAAAAATTTGATATAGAAAAATTAGAAATCAGCCACGATTTAGTAGAACTTTTCTACGTACCGGATTCGAACCTGCGACCTGGGGATTTGGATAACCACGCCCAGTTCTCTCGGCTACAAACGCTTAACGATCGAAACACTAGTCATAAATCAAACAGCTACAGGCGCTCATAAATGGTCAATGCGATGCAGCAAAAGTGGCACAAAATACAATTGGGCACAATTTTGCATGTAAAAAATAGGACTATAACTTACTAAAGGCATTCACGCTAACTTTGCTTATAGTAAATTCGAAAGCATTAAGCCATATTATGTATAAAATATGCATTTCCGAAACTTGCGAGATATATTGAATTAGAAAAATACTGAATTCGAGTTTTTATGATTATGTTGTTTTAAACAAATAGCTAATTTCGGTCATTTGATGAATTAAAAACTAGCGTGTACCGCACCTCCGGTGCTTCGAATTTCCAACAACTCAAAAAAAACTATTCTTTGAGTGTACTCTGACAGCAGCCAGTTACTGGGTTCGCAATTTAAAAACTTTGAAAAATTTTTCATTCAAGTTTTTTATACAAATTTTGAAGAACCATAAAATTCTGTGAAGTTTTATAGAAGTTATTCGAAAAAATTAAGATGAACTAAGAAACGTCACATCTGGGAAAATGAAAGCAATTGAGCAGTCGCATTTGGACGCAAGATTTTCAACTCCTGAGAGTAACTTCAAATTTTGTAAAGTTTGTCATTCGATTTTTTAATTCAAATTTTGAAAAAACATAAAAATTTGTGACACTTTTTATATCTAAGTATATAATGTATTAAAAAACATCACATCTGGGAGTGTGAAGTCAATTGAGCAGTTGCATTTGGACTCAAGATTTGCAACTCCTGAGAGTACTCTTAGAGTACCCAACAACAACGTTGGGAAATTCAAATTTTGAGAAACTTCACCTTAAGTTTTGTAAAAAAGGTATTTTTTTTGAAAAACAGAAAAAATTAACATCTCGATAACTACCGAAAATTGAGCAATCTTTTTTGATGGCAATATTCGCAATCTTTGAAAGTACACAACTACAGGGTTGCGAATTTCATTTTTACAAATTATTTTGTAATTTAAGTTTTCTGAAATTTTCCAAAAAATCACAAAAAAAAATCGTAACTCTAAAACAAAATTGATTTGGACATTCTTAACTGGAGGCCAAAACTGCAACCCCTGAGATTACTCTGACAGTCCCCCAATTACAGGTTAGGAATTTCAAACATTCAAAAAAAAATTGATTTATTTTTCATGAAATTTTTTTTGAAAAAATCACAAAAAACGTCATATCTGGAAAACTGCAAGATTTTGAGCAGTCCCATTTGAAAGCAAAAATCGCAGTCCTATTGGGAATAAAAATTCGCAACTCCTGAGAGTACCCTGACAGAGCCTCACTACAGAGATGGTAATTTCAAGTTTTGTGAAATTTTTTATATCTAAGTTTGCTGAAAAATTTTGAAAAAATCCAAAAATCTCGAAAACTACAAGGATTTGAGCAGCCAAAATCAAAGGTGGGATTCGCAACCCCTGACACTACCCTCACAATATCCAACAACAGGATTCAGATCTTCAACTTATTGGAATTTTTTAAAATCTAACTTTTTGAAAATTTTTTGAAAGAATCATAAGAAACGTCATATCTCGAATACTACAAGGATTAGAGAACTGAGAATTGGAGGCAAGATTCGCGCTCCCTCAGAGTACACTGGGGGTTGGGAAACATGCAAACATAATACCTTGAAAAAGCCTAAACATGGCGAGATAGTGAAGCCCGCATTTTAATATATAATAGATAGATAATAGATAAAAGTTAAAAAACTAGGCGACGGGTAGACAGACATAATCAAATTAATTAAAAAAGCAGGTATACAGACAGACAGACAGACTTAATTTGGCCTCGAAAAAAAATACTGACAAATTAATGACCTTGCGAAAAACTACTTGAAAATTTTCTTAAGCATTGCAATATATGCTATAGCTTAAACATGGGAGATAGCTGTCACTCGCATTTAAATATAGTATAGATAGATAGATATAGATTAGCAACTGCGATGACTTAATAAAAATCGAATGTGAAAGTACAAGTTATCATAAAAGCCGTAAAGGTGCCACCAACAGTGACAACAATATTTGCGACTTAGGTTAGAAAAAAAATAGTCGTGCTATTCAACTACGCTACTCAAGTTCGCTACTGTAAGCAGAAGGAAGATTGCAAAAAAATCCCGGCCGGATTCGAACCACAGGCCTTTGCCACCTCAAGCAAGTGTATTACTTCTTCGCCAGACGGTTGTTAAAATTGAATTTATAATAGAGCCAGTAAAACGTGTTGTTTACGGAAAAAATTCTAGTACCCGGTTGCAACACCCTTGCTAATCGCAAGGATAAAATGCTATTTAATATATAGAAAGAAAGATATAGTAAAGTGAACACTTTTAATGAACCTTTATATTTGCGACTTTGGTTGAAAAAAACTGGACATCGTAGTATGACATTACGCTCCGCATGCGTAGTGAGCAACAACTCGTGGGAATATTTCTTTTATAACAGCTCAAGCAAGTAAGCGGACCATAGCTTCTTTGCTCATTCTTTAGAGAAAAAACACCAGTAGGAGGTTGAATTAAACTCACTTGTTTACCTTTGAAAAGTCTGCAATGTGTAGAGGCACAGACAGTCTATCACATACTTGGCGAGCGAATGTCTCATCCTTGTCGGACTGAAACAACAGTATTTTCTTTATATTCACATGACATTAAAGTTCAGACTTTCAAGTTTTGGGGGAACTTTAATCCGTTAACTGCTGTCCGTTACACCGCACCTTCTCAGAAACTTTTTGTTGTTCAGTTTCAATTTGACCAATTTATGGACAAAACACTTTTCTAGCTCTGATAAATTAAAAAATATGAAAACATTTTAAAATAAAAGCAGAATAATTTTTAGCCACAAATCATTTCGGTTTTCGAAGCAACCAATCATATATACGCAATTGACAGGATGACTGAACAAATGCGAGACATCTTAAACAACCAAGGGATGTGTCCCAGGTTTCATTGATCTTAAGACACATTTTCATACGGCTGACCATAGTCGGTTTATATGCCAGATTAAACATTATGGCTATCGGGGTGACATTTTAATATTGGTAAAAAAATTACTGAATTAATAAGTTAGCTTTTCAGACAGAATTTGTCTTCAGATCGCCCAAACACTCAAACTTACATTTTAAAACGGTCCAAAACTGAATGGCTGCTATTTCTAAACTTTGTAGAACTTCACATCTACATACCGTGCATTTAGAGGTAGTGTCCAACTCCTCTCTGGCATCCCAATTCCTCATGAACAGCGCACTCCTCACTTCGAACTCTTTCGACCTCTTCAGTCTCAAGAGAGACACTGCACTGTCCACTCCGCCAGACACTGCACAGATCACAGGACGTCTTCGATTCGCCATCTTTTCACACTTTTCAATAAAGGAACCCCATCTGAGACATTACAAAAATCAGTAAATATCTGAAAAATTTCCAAATAGTTAACATCTGTAATTTGGATATAATATAAGTGTTCGTTATAGTTTTTTTTTCTGATCATGTGATACTCCTTCAATTCTGTGATATTCGGGAACTCGAAACATTTATTGTCCGTCCAGAGCATTATCTTTCTACATTCTTCAGGTTTTTTCTTTTCATGCAACTAACGCCGTTCATCGTTGAGAAGAAAGGACCAATATTTTATTTGTTAAAACTGACATTTTTTGACCTTTATCATTCAAAACCAACAACTATAAAAAAAAGTTTTGAACGTCAAACGTTGAATTTCAATGAATTATTCATTTAAACATTGAAGAAATTACATCATTCGAGTCCTGCTCCTGTGTGAACACTGTGGATTTAAGTCGAGTTTTCAATTTAAGACCACTAAAACCAAGGAAAAACTAGTTTTCTGGTGGTTTCATTTCTCTGAGTTGTTCAAGATAAATTTTGTCATGAACTAGTCACGATATTTCCTGCATTGCCAAATTTCTCTCCCAAAGCACTCTTGTGGTAGAAATTTTAGCAAAAATTAGCAACTACAGTAATTTTGTGGGAAATACATTTATTTAATCATTTAAATATTGAAAATTCAGTGCAGATTAGCTTAGTTCGATCGTATAAAGACAGTATTTCAAAATCATCGTCCGAGTCTCGCCGCCGTAGAAAAAACTCTCATTTTAAATTTAAATTTTGATACAATTTAAACAGAACTCAAAGTTCAAAACATGCCATCTTCATCCTCGTCACTCGGCTTTCTAATCGAGAACTTTGTAGTCAACAACAGTGGCACAAACTCATAAACATCCTCACTTTTCACCTTGCGTGAAATCATATTCTCAGCTATGAACATTCGACCGAACGAACCAAGAGTCACTACTCCTACAACAACTCCGTCTTTTATGTACACAACAGCACAACTTGCTATCGGGTCATCATCAATATTACTCTTTTCTTCAACTTCAGTCGATGCGGTTGGATTTTGATTTTGCGTCGTTTTGCTTTCCATGTTCGTATATTCTTGATTGGTTTCGATTTCTTCCTTGTCTGTCACATTTCCAGCTTCTATTTCAGTTGATTTGCTGTCTACTTTTGATTCCAAAGTTTCAGTATTTTCAAGCTCTGTATCTGCAGTGTTTTCATTCTGTTCAGTTTTCGACCTATGAGCAAAATAGACTTGAGTTTCTAATTTAGGGTCAATCAAACCAACTCCATCAAAGCCCAAATCATCGCCGAAATCTGCAAAATGTCTAGGCAGTTTAAAATAGGGCATCACTTTTCCAATCATATTTAGAGCAGCCCATCTGCCGGACATAACTGAGTGATCTGGGAAATCGAAAGATAGTCTGGATCTAAACATAGGATGATAAACTGACACGCAGGATCCTGCAGCATATAGATCGCTTCTCACTTTCAAGGTCGAATCAGTGACTATAGTATCCAAATTATCAGAATCTGTTTCTAAGGCACTGTTTTTAGCTAGCTCTGAATTAGCGATACGGGGTAACATACTAACCACGTTGTCACAACAAAACGATTCTGTTCCAAAATTCAATTTCAGTTTTCCAGATTGGTTTGAAACTACCAGGTTTCCTACTTTTGCGTTCTCAATTATTTTCACTCCAAGTTTTTCAATCTCGGGTTTAAGCCAGTCGATCACAATTTGCGGTAAGTAGTCGGCCAAAAACTTACCAGAGCAAGTTAGAGTAACTTTACGTTTGACTTCATTGTTGAAAATCAAACTTTGGCAAGTTGCAAACTCGACCGCTTTCAAATTATCGCCAATGATTCCAATATGCGAACAGTTCGCTAAAGACTCTGTCAAACTATGGAAATCATCTAAGTTGTCCAAAACGTGGAACTTTTTCTTAAGTGAGGCTGGAATCTTAGTCGGCAATGTCGGAGTCTTGGATCCAAGAGCTAACAGGCACTTTTCATACTGAACTGAATCACCGTTTTCTAAACGAGCTAAATGTTTCTCTGGATCGATTTGACTAAATTTATGTTTGAGAAGTAAAGCCTGAGCCCCATATTCATCGGCACTTTCCAAATCAGTCGGAGACAGGTAGAATGATTCAGGTTGGAAGAACAAGAACTTATTGGACGCTTGGAACCTCGATTCGTATTCAAAGGTCTCCGAAAAGTTATCCGTGAACCAAGCTTCCATGTTTAAGGGGTATCTCTCATATGGCAAATATTTTGAGTCAGTAGCAATCAAAACTTTGGAACTCGGTTCAAGATAGCGAATGGTTCGTAAAGCCGAGTATGCTGTAGGACCCGATCCAATTATAAGATACTGGACCTTGAAAGGAGGGAGACCTGATGATTCTGCTTGTATATTGGATAAACTACTCTTCTTTTTGATTGACAGATAGGAGACAGAAATGACGGGGACTAAAACTAGGGAAACATTTTTCAACAATCTTCGATTGTAATTACCGAAGTATGTTGAAAAGACCATATTTAACTATTCCTGAAAAATCATTTCAATTTAAAAACAAATATAGCCTACAGGCACTTGGAAACATGATTGAACTAAAAACGATTTTTGTCGATGCATCTTTGTTTTCAAGTAAGACCGGTGAAAATGCACCGCTGAATTTTCAAAATATTAAATTATTGAAACTTTTTCAATACATCAAACCCTATTTGAAAAAAAAACTGGATCAGTAGATAACTTTTTAAATCTCGAGAAATTTTTTTCGGGTCATTTTTACTTTTGTTATTGAAAAACTCAATTTGCCTTTAGCAAAAAAAAGCCACACGGCCGAAATATTTTTTTTTCATCCGAAATATTTTAGTTCGTTCATTATATATAAATCGAAAACACCAATGAGATTTTGCTGGTACATGATGAGCTCAACTAGATAAATGGAAATCTTTTAATTCGATTATAAACTGAAAATACCTTGACTGATTTATTTATTTATATCAAAGTTAATCTCACTAAGGCGGTATTAATAAAGGCTTATGTACAAGTTTCTGTTTCATGAACCAGGTGCGCTAGATCGCTCAAAACAAATCAATCTAGTCTAAAAAAATATTTAAGCTTTGAAGATACTTTGCAATATACAATTCATTTTCAAGGCTTATTGCCAGTTCAGAAAAACTTGATTTTTTTTTAATTTTAACATGCTGAAATTTTAACCAGCTTAATTTGAATTTTGTGATGTGTAAAATTTGAAGGCGCACCAGGTACGTTTGAGAGTGATGGCTAAATGGGTATCATTGTCACACTAAAGCGAAGCCTTCCGTTTGCTCAATTGCAAACTTCAGCTTCTGTCTCAGAGTCTCAAGGTCTCTGTACAATGGCAGATCGAGTAAGTTGAAACAGGTGTGTGCAACAGGCAGGTACTCCTCCCCTCCATGAGTAGGCTGGATTGTGAACTGGAGACTCTTCATGCCATTCACTGGAACCCTCTCAGTTCCAGTCAGGAATAACAGGAACTTCAGCTTCATTTCCTGAGACATTTCATGGATAACAGTCCAGAAGTTTCTGATCACTGGGTGGTCCGCGTTGAACTCACCTTTATAAGTGGTCGTCGTTTCTAATTCGAAAAAATCATACTTACTACTCCCACTTATCAACTCATGCAGTTCTTGTGGCTGGAAAAATTTGAGAACATCACTTTGAACAACCTTGTAGAACCCAGTACTGAACTCATAATACTGTTTTCGAATAGACTCATTCAGGATATAATTCACATACACACTCACGAAGTGCTCCTTGTTTTCATGGGTCACCGGAACATTTCCACCATCTGGTATCAAATCATGAACTACTGTGGTTCCATAAAAGTCTTTTGCTACTTGAAAATTGAGGCAAAATGTTTCTTCGACGTCCTCGCCTTCATAATTCTTCAAGTCGTCCAACTGCTTCGCCAACTGCTCGTCAAGCGAGTACAGATCCTGAAGACCAACTTCTTTGTCCAGCAGTTTCTTGTATAGCACCATTGGAAACATGAGGTCAATTATTGTTTGATTATAGATAGCAAGTCCGCAGATCATTCCGATCATTCGGAACAGTCTCAACTCCTCTTCGAATATGTCATTAAACCACTTGCTGTTGCCCATTATTTTGAACATACCGTATTTGATGTCAAGAATTTCGCGCAGAATGAGCATGAAGAACTCTTTCTTCACGCCCCCTGCGTCGATTGCGTCTTCTCCCTCGAAGATAACCTTGAGGGGTTTGCGCAGGTCGAAGTCGTCGCAGGATAGAAGTTGGTTCAGAGTGGAGTCCACTAAGTTGTCTCTAAGCAACAATCACAATTCTCAGCAAAAAAAAAATATTGTGGAATGGTGAGCTAGTTCTCTGGCTACAAATGGATGTAACGGTAGTTAGCGAGACCGACCATGCTTCAAGTTCGTTACCCTAAGCATGAGTCAACATTTCCCAGCCCAAAAAAAATGACCAAATCAGAAAAAAATGTATATTTTTATTTTGATGAAGAGTTTTACCATTAGGAGCTTTACAAACGTCAAGTTTTACCATAAGGAGCTAAACTCGTATATAAGTGCTTTGCTTGGTAATTTTTATTTAACCATCATTCAGTATTTTTTTAACTTCTTGCTTCTTTTTTAACTACCCTTAATTTTCTCAAAATTATGATTTCTCATAACTTAAAAGTCACCTGCTAATACAGAGCACCAAAAATGGGCATGCCATTCCTGCAAAGTTGGCCGTCATCAGACTCTGCAGTTGCAAATGAGTCACCACTCTCTGCATTTTGATCATGGCCTCACATGCCAACAGACAACTCTTAGAAGCCACGTCGAACACGAAGGGGAAGTCACACACCGGGACCACTTTGAAAGGGTCGTTGATAGAAGACACTGTGTTACACTTCGCATTTTGGGCACTAGTCTTTTTCTGCAGCCAAACTACAAAGTCGTTTTCTATATCAAGTCGGTTAGTCAACTCCTTCACGTAGAACCGATTCGGAGGCAGTTTTTCAGAGTTCCCTTTCATTTCATTGACGGAGTGAAAAAACTCCAAAATGCGCAAACAGATCATCAAAGACTTGACAACTTGTTCATTTTGAAGGACCTCTTTTCCTCCTTTAGTCGAGGTCAACACAAAATAATTGATCAACTCTTTGTAGACAGACAGAATTTTTGTTAAGTATCTTGAGTCCAAATTTCGGAACCAGTATTTCAGAGTCTTCTGTGCCGATGTATTGAGTCTCAGAATATGGACAGCTACAGGGACTATATTATTCTGCCAGTTTAGAGTATTTTCCATGATGTAACATTGGGTAATTGGAAGATAAAATCGTAGACATTCGATATCTGCAGGAGCTCTGGTCGCCGACTGCACTAGGGTATCCACTGACGTCGTAAGAGCTCTGTTGTAACTTGAATTATACATTTCACACAAAGTGGCAAAAAAATTACTGGCTATTTCCATGTCGACACTAGACTCTTGAGGCGAACTTTGACACTTAATAGCCGGGTAGTCGTACAAAAAAGAAGAATTGAGACATGCTGCATTTGTAAAAACTGCTTCAAGAAGACTTTTTAATTCAGTAGCTCCAAATTTGGTCGAAACATCAGATGGATTTTTTATGAATTGCCGAGCAAAACTCAGATCAATTCTTTCGATCGGAAACTTTCTTTCAATCTTCACAAGCGAGCTTTCGAGAACACAAAACGACTGGTCACCTCCTGTAGCAATTAGACCTATACGTCCCGGCAAGTTAGCAACTTCTGATAACTTGTGAACATCATTGCAATCACCGGTTCCAAGTTGGCCTAAATTATTCAGTCCGCAAGCTAAAACTTTTCCATCTTCTGTGAGTCCCAGCGTGTGTTTTCGGCCACATGATATGTCGGCTAAGTTCAAATTATCAGACCACAACACTTCGATTGGACTCAAAACAGGTGATTCTGAAGAGAAACCCAGCTGTCCATTAGAGCCACTGCCACAACTCATTAATGTCACTTTAGGTTTCTCAGATTGAGCTGACCGGTCAATTTTTGAGCACAAAAACATCGAATGCTGTTCACCTGCGGCAATTTTCAACACAAAATACGGCTTCAAATTATTCAATCGAGTTAAAACATGCCGATTTGTCGTATCTCCAATTCCAAGTTGACCGAAACCATTTCGTCCGCAAGCAAAAACTCGACCTGAAATCGTGGTGAAAAACGTGTGATAACCTCCACACGCTATTTTAGAAACTGGTAACCCTTCTACTCCTTTTAAAACAGTTGGATGCTTGACAACTTCCAGATCTTTGCCCAAACCTAACTGACCATATGCATTGGATCCCCACATATACAGAACGCCAGTGGTCGCTATAGCAACCGAATGTTTGGACCCAGCACCTACAACGCGTACTGAAACTGGTTCTGGGAATTTGAGTATCTTTGGCAGGTCGAATATACCGTCAGTATTCGCGTCACTTTCCTGCAAACCGGTTTGCGAGTCAGTGTTCGATCCCCAGCAGGAAACTCTTCCGTCAGAAGAACAGGAAATGTTATGCGCAGTTCCCGACACGCTGAAATCGATTTCGAAACTCCCACACGACTCAAAGTTAGCCAAAGAGGGACGAACTGAACCCGATTTCACACTTCGCCCGCATTCTCCCGAGTCATTTCCGCCGAAAGAGAACAATTCACGACTAGTTCCATTAGTCGTTAAAACTTGGGTGTGTTCTCTGCCACTGTTAATGGAAATTATTTTCAGATTGTCAAAAAACGACACCTGTTTAAATGAGGAAACATTCACTTCTTCACTAACGCCTAAACCTAGCTGCCCGCAGCTAGACGATCCACACGCAAACATAAGATACTTATCTGAAACACAAACACAACTTCATACACACCGAAAGAATAGAATTTTTAATCAAAAAACACTATCCGACCAAGTCTTTCTTGACGTTTCTTTTTCATTCCTATGCTACTTTGAACAGACAAAGGAGGGATAAATTGAAACGGACTTACTACCGGGGAATGCGGTGTTTGCAAAGACTTCTAAAGGGCAAATGCCGCGATCGATTTAGCTGCAAATTACGGATAAAGTATGGATTCGACAGAAAACTGTTACGTTTCCTCAAAAAGTAACACAATAATGCACTGAGAACATTGAAAGGAGTTGGTTGAATAACTGTGGCAACTATTGATTAGATATTTCTCTTTTGCATCAAAGTTGGCTGGAACTGAGGCAGTAAGAGCTACTTCTCATTCTGATTCTGATGCCTTCCCTGATGCCAAGTTCGCCTCACTTTCAGCTGACAATCACAACTATTATCTCACTTGCACCATTACAATTTCGCCCTCTTTTATTTTCTTTCCACTCAGCCATTCACAGCTACTCTTCGCCTATTTAAGGTGGCTAGTGAAGTCAGTCCCTATTCAGATTACAGACGACAGCCAGGCTGCTTATCTCACAGTACAAATGCTAGGGTAAGTTCAACTCGCCGAAGGTCATTTTCTCGAAAAAGAGGAATCAAAAATTATGTTTTCCCTTTCAGACTTGATTAAATTGAGCTTTGAAGGTTAAATTGAGCCCTGAAGCATTTTTCAGACATTTCCCGGCCACAGTGGCTGCGATTCAGGGCCAACAGTAGTCATCTCAGACACATCATGAAAAAAGTTAGACAAGTCTATTATCAGACCTATTCACGAGTGAATTTCCTATTTTAAATCTGGTTTAATTTTGCCATGATTCTTAAAGTTTACTTGACCAATGCTTTCTTCGAGATATATTTAAACCAGTAAATTGCAAGACGCTTCGAAGTTGAAATAAGGCATCGAAGCATCGGCGAAACGAGATTACTTTTACTTAAAATTAGAATGCTTATTCTCTCCTAAGAAAAGAGCGAAGATATGATTGAGATTAGACTCACCTCGCGCTTTGTTCTTAACTAATTAGAACAGCATAACATAAAGAACATGTTGTGAAAAAAGAGGAAGCAAAAGAAAGAGAAGAGATTATGGTGATGTTTCATTGTTTCAAACAGCGACTACCCTTCCATTCCTCAATCTACCATAATTAGATGTCTTTCCATTTTGAACTCGCTCTCAAGCCAATATTTGATCTCTCAGTCGGATCACTTTACAATCTTCCTTCGACGAAGACAATATATCAAGCAAATAGATTCTTTTGACTCTTTTCACCGTACTTATTTTCAACAAGACCAATGTAAGTGAATTATAAAAGCAAAAAAAAAAAACAAGGATAGCCGGTTCCTGTGCATGTAGCTCGGAATGTCCCGGTCATACCTACAAAAAACATACAAAAACATATTTAAAAAAAAAACATATAAAAAGTGGAGTTTTTTATCTGCGCGGTGAAAAAAAAATCTGAACTTAAAACTAGAACTTAGGTATATTCAACATAGTAAAATAAGCAAATTGGTCGACAGTTTTTGTAGAAAATTGACTAGAAAAACAAAAAACACCCTGGCGCTGAAAAACTCCAGAACCTAACTTTACTTGCGTAAAACTAAGATGCAATTCCAAGACTTCAGGATCGATGCCCATATGAAGTCAACTTTTCTAAAATCGGTTTAAAAAAACACCTCGGGCATATATATTTCTCACATTCTTCGAAAGTCGGAACAAAAAAAATAACATGACGTCGCAATTTCATATGAAATAAAAACGATGAATAAAAACAATGAAAAATTTTTACAGAAAACTTCGCAGATTATTATAAATAAAACCGCACTTTAACTCAAGCTACCAAACGCATTAGGCATTGTTATGTAACATATTGTTTTTCACTCTTATGTCCATTTTTAACTCCAGCCAAAAAAAACCAAACTGAATATTTGTTTGTTTTTCCAGTCTACTTTTAATTCTTTCTTTACAAAAGCAGAATTGAAAATCTGCGGCGTAGTTAGCTTAAGTGAGGGATAATGTGGGACGCTTTGCTAACAAATTTCAATATAAATCATATTATTAGTCTCCAATTTTTTCCAATTTCAATCGTTCGCTTACTTCTTCAGTCTAACTTACTCGCTCCTCTTTTTAATGGAGGCGACCAAGACTGCGGCACATTCCAACTAGAACTGAACTAATGCACTGTTACTTGTAACGTCACGTCACATATCCGATATGATGACTGCAAATATGAATTTGAGACCATATATTGCTTCATCTTGTGAAGCTTTTTGCATCATTGATAAGAAGACGGACAACAAGTTATCTTCAGCTAGAAATTATTACACAGTAAAGCATACACAGTCTGTTTCGCAAATTATCCAATAGATGTTTAGTTCAGTTTTTGAACCAACGAAACTAATTCTAATTTCCGCTTCCGCACTGGTCAGCTGAACATTGAATAGCGTCATTCAAAATGTAAGTACACCTTTATATGTTCCTAGAACAACCACGTTTTCAATGCAAAATTTAAACAAACTGTTTCTTTTCTCAAAGATATCTATCTGGTTGGATTGATCTCTGCTACTAGCAGCGCAAATGGCTGCTAACTAAATAAACCTTTGGCATTGACTTTAAATTCGGTGAAAATTCAAATACAAAACACCAAGAAAAATATGAAAAAGTAGCCAATATGCACTTAAATCGAGGGGCGAACCGAAAAATATAACTCACTTCAAAATTTCTGAAAGCCGCTAGTTCCAAAAAAATGGCTACAACGAAAAAAAATGCTTCACATGGTCATTTTATTAATTCGGCAAAGCTCAAAAAAATGAAATGGCAGGTCTAAAAAAGCCCACAAGGTTTTCAAAAACAACAATTTAAACAAACTGTTTTTTTTTCTCAAAGATATCTATCTGGTTGGATAAATCTCTGCTACTTGCTGCACAATTAAACAAATCTGCGCCATGCGATCAAACAGATCCTGCACAATGCCTTGAATCCGCTCAATAGCAAACTGATCTTTAAAATAATATTTTCAAATATTATAGCAAACTGACCTTTAAAATAATATTGCACAAGGCACTGAATCCGCTCAATAGCAAACTGACCTTTAAAATAATATTGCACAAGGCACTGAATCCGCTCAATAGCAAACTGACCTTTAAAATAATATTATATGCAGTTTTTTTTTCATACACATCCAGTCGAAGAATTATAGAAAAAATGAAAGAAAGCATGACAGAAAGGGCTATCAAGTGACAATTTAATTCTACCCACAATGATTTTAAGCTAAGCTATTAAAATAAGCTATTGTAAGCCTGCTCGCTCGCTTTACTCGCTCAAAATAAGAAAAATCAAAAATTTCAAACCGGTTTTTCTCGAAACTGGGAAAAAATTTTCAAATTTTTTAAATGTGGTTCGAATCACGGCTGAAAGGGCTTTAAAATGACATATCACTCAATTCTGTCCGACGATTTTATGTGGTACCTAAGTTTGCGTGGAAAACAAAAAGAAAAAAAACTAAAACAGACAGACCCGAATACAAAGTTCCTCCCCATTTTCAATGGTGGCAACAAAAACAAAAAAAGTTGGTAGGCAAATTGAAAAACAGTTTCCGTAGAAAAATGAATAGAAAAACGACGAAAATTGTTAAAACATCGAAAGCAGCTTTCAAAATTTCTTTCAAATTTTGTTCGCAGATTAGAGACGCAAAATTAGAGGAGAAATCAAAAAAATCAAACCGGTTTTTCTCGACACTAGAAAAAATAATCGAGAACTTTTCAATGTCTGACTGAAAGGGCTTCAAAATAATATATCACTCGACACTTTCCGATGATTAATTGTGGTACCTGATTTTGCGACTACTTGAAAAAAAAAACTAAAGCACACGCGCATACAAAATTCTTCCCCATTTGCAATGGCCCGAACACTAAATTAGCCAATCGCCAAACAAGCCACTGGGAGATAGCACTAGTTCACATTCTATAAATACTTGCAGAAACCTTTCAGCGGATAATAACTAATAACAATTTTAGACAATTTTGGTAGGTTAAAATTTTTCTTCACACAGGCTAAGCTGTGCTTCGCAAACACTAGCGACAACACGGCAAAAACCAGCTCTATAAAGTGCAATCAGAAAAAAACATTAAAAAGCTTCGAGTAAAAATTCGGCTAGGTCTCGGATTAGATCTGCTCTAGCCACACAGCCACGGACGCTTAATTAATCACAAATACTAGCCTCAAATAAAGCAGAGAACAGATGCTATGAAAATCCCAATGCTACAAATCGTGATTATAGCAAAAGTGCCACCTAATAATGAACACTTTGCCACCAAATAATGAACACTTTTGTTTGCGAGTTAGGTTGGAAAAAAAGAAGGTTCGTACTAATACACTAAGCTTGCTAGTATAATCATTCAGTCCATAAGCAAATGTTTCAGTTAGCATACAATAATTGCTTTAATTAGGTGTTCATGTAAACATATCAATTTAGATTGGGGGCGTAGCGATTAGCATGCGTTAAATACTTCAACTGGGTGTGCTTTAAGACGAAAAACAAATTAGCCTAAACTTTCAAATAATGTCGAAAACCACCTGATTTTTGAAGGGAGTTAAAGTTTCCCTGTAATTAAAAATTCCGTTAAGTGCACGCTGTTCAAAATAGTAATTTTGAGTAAACGAAAGGTGAAAAAGCAAATCTTCTTACTACATTCTTTTACATGGACATGCTAATCAACACACATGCTAATAGGCCGGTCCTATTTTAAATTCAAAGTTCATTTTCATCTAATTGATTATTTGCGGAGTGCACGCTATCTAAAATTTAAACCCGAGAAAACAATAAAAGGAAACAAGGGAGTATCAGGTTGGCAAAATCAGGTTAGGGGGGCATTTAAGGATCTTTTCTACTTCACTTTCCAAAACTAAAAGTGAGGCTCAATCAGCCAGCTAGAGGGGCATGCTTTAGCAGATAAGACCTCGATATACAGTTTTTTATGAGCTAAATGCCTCAGCTTTTGAAAAGATGCAGCCAACCAAGTCAAAGAAGGCTTCTTCGGCAACCTGATACCCATGATAATTTTGACAGCTGGACCTTTCGGCGAGTTGACATGTCACCACCTAAATTTAGTAACCGACTCAATTGCTTTCTTTAACATTCGTATGGAAATGAACTCGTATAAATGGTTAGTTGTTGGTGTTATAACAAAAAAGACGGAAGAAACTTCGAAATTAAACAATTACAATAATTTCGTATAGGAATTGCCGGATAGATATTTGAATTGAATATACGTGATTCAGAAATTAGCTCGTCTCAGACAATTTTACAGCAGTATTATTTCATTTTAGGCGTTTTAAAATTCAGGTATAATTTAAAACCATAACCATCACCAATAGTATTTTGGGTATTTAAAATTGTTATAGCTGCACTATGACATTTTAAAAAGTTGGGAGCATTTCTTTTTTACTTTTTTGTTGAAAATATAGGAGAACACTTTTTCAACAATTCGCGCAAACCCAAAAAATGATTGCTTCTTTTTAACGACGGTTTAGTTAACTCGTAACCAGGGATTTGGTCAATTTTCTTTCATCTTTCAAAAACAACTGTGCAATTATTTCTCCCCTGCATGTCATTATACCTTTAGTGATCCGGCTGCTTGGCCCGCGGCAACTAAACTACTGTCGAAAATTGAAGGTAACTCTCGCGGCAGAAAAATTCCCTACCATATTATTTTCTATAAGAACTAAAACAAATTCTAAAATCTATCTTACTAAACTAACTAAATTATGTTATAATACAATAATTTTAGATTTTTTCGGCTATCTCATTTTCGAACTAGAGGTGCTAGCCCACTATACACGCGTTGGCCTGTCTGCTTTAGCTATTACGGCATTTCCCCAAGGGTACTATCTATCTGCACACATTGCGATTCACATTATCGCACCCGAAATTTTAATAACCAGAAAACAAAAACTTTTTTTAAGCAGAAGGTACATGCATAAAATTACCGATAGTTTCGATACTTCTTACAACTTAAGTTTAGTCGTGTTCTGCGATGTAATATCACGTTTCGCATTTCCTGCATTTTAAATTTTTTGTTGTCCATATATGACGTCTATCTCAAAAACGTATTTATGACGTATAGAATTCATAGTAAATGCGCTTGAGCAAATTGACAAGTCGAAAACAAAAGACTAACGAATCTTCGTTTCCTAATCAATGCGCAATTTTTGTGGTGCTTACTCGAATTTTGACTAATCAATCATCGCAACTTCATAATTTTACATACCCGTCAATTAGTCGATATCTTACAGGTATTCTTTGTTACTCCAGCCTCAAATTCGCCACTAGGTTACAAATTTTCAGTATAAGTGTTAAAACTAATCACTTTTTATAAGACGCTCATTCTTTTAACAGTCGATTTATCACAAAAATTAAACCTTCGACTTACTCTACAATCAAATCACGTGACAAGAGACGCTATGCGACAGCAACGAGCTCCGGATGTTCATACCACGGTACTTGAGGCAAGAATATTAATTAAAAATTTTTGTTTCAAAAATTTCTGTTTTCTTGGGTTGCAGAGATAGATTAAAATTGAGCTCCATATGCGATAAAAAAATGCTTAATTATCACAAAACTGTTCTAAGAACAGATTATTTTTGACTGATTAAGAGCTGCAAAAATCCACGGCGTTCTCGCAATGAGATTTCATTTGGTTGTAAATGTCGTAAATTTTACAGTGAATGGAATCTACATTGCAAACGATTTATTGTTCCGACTTTCGATACGAAAGTAACGGAATATTTGTGCTCGGGGTGGGTTTTTTTTTCTTCAGACAAATTTCGACTTTTTAACTAGCCATTTTTGACGGCATTTTTTTATATCATTCAAAAGGTATTGTTGCCCTGAGCTTAAATTTGAAAAGATATTTCACCTCTGATCATTTTTCGTAAAGTTATGAGAGTTTAAAGATTGCCATTTTGACCAATTTGGGACAATTAACGCGCGATATAATTCGCGCTATTAACGCGTAAGCGGAGATTTAATCCGTCTTATAAATCGTTCCAAATTGGTTGAGCGAAGCTTATTTGCCATAATTGATGTGTTACAAGGAACGATAACTATCTTTTTGTACTTTATATGGCGTGCGGGGGGATGATTTTCATTAAAAATTTCAAATTTTAGAAATTTTTTTTTTCATTTTATTTTATTTTTTATAATGTTTTTATGTTATTACTGCTGCTCCATAAACCTTCAAAAGCAGTCGGAACATTCAGGGCTTCACCCTGATACGAGCAGTCTTGTTATTATATTATTATCCACTACCCCGCTGAAACTTACTACAGAAAAAAAGTTACCGCTCGAATCACAATTGAAATGGCTTGAATGCGACATTTCAATTAAACTCATCTGACGTTTATTTGTGCTATCTGAACATGTGATTGAATATGTTTTTCCAAGTCCTGCACTCAAAATACCGTCTCAAATGCCTAAAAAATGCATTTCTTTCGGTTTCTGATATGGAACTTTATAATTTTTTTTACGACTGAAAGAGCTTTTATTTGATAACACAGAAAAACGTTCGTCGAGATATCTAAATTTTGTAAGAAAAAAAGAAAAAAATTCGTAAAAAAACATATGATCAAACGTAGTAACCAATGCAACTGTTCGTCGAGATATCTAAATTTTGTAAGAAAAAAAGAAAAAAATTCGTAAAAAAACATATGATCAAACGTAGTAACCAAGGCAGTTGCAAAAGCATTAATGAACTCGAGGAAAATCAAAAAGACCGACCGATGAAGTAGGCTGTCATAAGTCTGTCAAGTAACTCAATATTCGTTCTTTTTATCAAAAACAACAAAAATTGTTTTTACATGAAGCTATTATGGAAGCTAAATTGTGCTCTACTGATTAGAAATTATTTATATAAAAAACTACATTTTCAAAAATTTCTCCTGAAACGTGAGGAACGCTGGTCGCGACTGATGTTCAATTTCAGGAATATACAAATAAAAAATGTTATCACCAGCGCTCAATAAGCATTCATTATCATTTACGGAGCAGCGTCAATTGATCCAAAAAGTGCTACCTGCTGGATGAATTACACGCATCTGATTATTTCTGCCGTCTATCCTCTATGGAAAAAATCAGGGATCTACTTCATATTTTTTTGGAGACATGGTGACACGTTTTTGGATATGGTGATATGTTTCAGTATATGTTCGAGATTTCAGTATCTTGTTCATTTCATATTGTTGTATATTTCGCCTTTGTCAATCATAAAATAGTGCAGCCTTAAGTTTTCACCCATAGCAATAAATTGAAATATCAGTAGGGTTTTGGGAAACAAACGTCAAGCATTTTCGTAGGAAATATAATGCCGCCAAAAAACTGATAAGCTACGAGTTTAATTCACAAGTTAAATTCAACTTCAAGTCGCACCAAGAAGGCGATATAAAAAGACATGGAGCGTGAAGATCTGAATAGCACAAATTGATAACATGAGGAAAATAAAAAGTTTTCAGAGCATTTCTGTTTGTTCAAATGTCCCACTGTTTCCTGTGGCTGGGGGGAACTTAGTGACCGTTAAATGCATGCCTGCTCCAATTTGGTATTTGCTCAACTACATTTAATGTTTGTTCCCTTTAACTTTGTTTGCATTCAGAAAATATTGCTTTAAAAAAATTCTAAAATTAAATTATATTTATACCAATTCTATTAATCCATCCAATTGATCGAATGCTTTTATTTCATATGAGTGCTCTAAAGTTAGACGATTTGCAGTTTGCCCTTCGACAAAAGTCTTTCTAGCAACACTTAACACCCGCAGCTATTTCTGACGTTTATTTGATAGTTTAACTATAATCAACACTGGAACCGATGGGAGCTGTTATCAATTCAGTCGGAAAAGTCAACAGCAGTAAAATAAATACATGTGCTCTTCTTAATCTCATTTCAAACAACTTTTCCATCTTGCTTAATTATTAATGAACAGGGGTATTCATTAATTATTTCTGCAAATGAATCGTTTTTTTAGGAATACATCAAATATTCGCAATTCGCTATGGCTTCATAAAAAATGTCCAAAAAAACTACATTAATTTGCCCTCTGCAGCGAAATGTTAAATTCTGTAACTGAAAAAATATATATTTTCCTTATCTCACACGCAGTTTAATAAAAAAAAACGCTTTTTAAACCCATAAACTAAACACGGATAAAGCCGAGCTGAGCTTCCCAACACCTGCGATACAAAAAATAAATGCCTTTGTCCAGGCATGAAAAAATTGATATTATTCATACTTTTACGATACAAAAAGGCGACATAAAATTTTCAAGAGGAACCACATTGCATTTTCGATTCTCCAATAAGCATCTCCAACTGACGGAATCTAGTAAGATAACATTATCATTTCTAACTTAAGACACAAGGCTCCACTCATTGCGTTCTTGTAATGAAACGACAAAAAAGTAGAAATCGCATAAAAATATTGATCTGAGACCAAAACTTGAAAAAAATTACACAAATAACTGCTCGAAAATCTGCACTACTATGACAAAATTTTATAGGTTGACCAAATTGTTTTTCCCAGCTCTCCAAAAACAAATTGTTGCCATCATAACCTTGAGCTTTCATAGCTACTAATTATCAGATAGAAGGCAAACTACACCCAACAGACAGTTGGGAAAGTGTCAACGAACTAGAAGAAACAGAAAAAAGGAAACCAAAAAAAAACATTCTAATTTCAATCGAACTTCCGAATAAAAAGCGTATCACGGTACAGCTCTTCGAATTTCAAGAGTATTTGCCCTGAATACTTAGGAAACATCAAAATGGCATTCTACTACAGTTAAAACTGCTCGAAACGTCTGCTCAAAAATAAAAACGTCACTTTCGAAAATTAAAAATCTTGAAATTCACCCACTAAATTTTTATAGCTGCCTCATCTCACCTTTAAACTGTCTTATTTCGTAAATTGCCTCTGGAAATAATATTTGACAATGTTTGTCTTTCTTTGGATCTCAAGCGTAGAGCAAGACATGCGAAAACAAACTTTAGGGCCCTAATTGCAACCTTTTAAGAGATTATCGCAGAGAAGGAGTGTTGTTCAAAAACAGCGCTCAAATCGCAACTTGAGAGGATTACACGCAATTACCATTGAACTCCTGGAGAATGACTTAAGCCTTTTTAAAACCAAAATCTCATTACTTTCAAAATTGAATAGCTGAAGAATTTTCTGATTACTTCTAATCCATCAATCCGACTATTTATACGCCCTGTCAAAATGACAAACTTTCGAGCTCCGATGCGCAAGCGACCCCTTTTCTGTGGATCTAGCAGCCACAAACAATAATTTGGGCGAAAACAAAATTCCCGAAGGGTAAAGAGATTCATTCCAGTAATAATGTGCTACTGGCTATTTGTAAGCTATCACATTTCACAATCATTCATTCCTATTGTATCAACATTGGTCGAAATGCCCTAGCAATAAACACTACATGCACTAGGATTTTTCCGTCTATCAATTCAAATGAACAAATTTGTCTAAACCTGCATTTTTAAAATCATTTAAACAGATGTTTTTTAAATAATTTTTTCGCACTGCTATCATTGCAAAGTGGCTGAAAATCACACCACTTTTCATGACTTCCACCTATTACTCTTGATCTAACCTGACAAGACTGAGCCATGGCACTTGAGCACCTACAACAACAGCTCTTCACTATATCCATTTGCATTTCAGATGACCCCATTCTCACGTGTAGCTCCTCCTCCAGTTGCTGATTATCCAGAAAACGACTCATCAAAATTCCCCAATACGGTCGTTAATTGCCACACGATATTACTAAATGGGTTATGAAGGCAAATTTCAACTGCTTTTACTCTTTTTCTTTACTCTCTTTTCAAGCTCCTCACTTCAAACATTCAACACCATGCCTACTATGCTTTGCAGTTGAATGACGAGTATGAAATTCCCCTTCTTCTCAGTGCTTCATGTTCAAATTTCTCTTAGACATACGCGGAGATGGAATTGCAAAGGCCCAGAAGAACAGTTAAATTTAATCAAATTCAATCTGCCACAATTTACATTTTCAATTAATCTCCATAATCAATCACGGGGCGATAAAGAAGCCCTCGAACAAATTCCTACACAAATATTTTTCTTCCTTTTCTTGTTAACCTCCGATTTCCACAATCTAACCGCATAAATAATTCATTCGCAACAAGTTATCCTAAACAGAAAATCAACAAAAAAGCATTTCAGTTGGCGCTACTTTTGAACTTAGTTACTGTAATATGGCATAGCATATCCACACTAAGTTAATCTACTATAACAAAAAAAAATAGATAACGATCGAACGATTCTTCTAAGATGACTATTGGTTACTTCCGATTGTATTACGTAACTAGTGTATTGTGCGCTTTGGTTGGTATTCGGTTGGTCAGCAGTAAGCATGCCGTGAGTAAGATGCTGGATTACATCATCTCAGACCAGCCGGACGAGTACGGGGCCATCCGATACGACAAAACCCTTCGACCCAACTTTGGAGGCGACGGAGTCCCGGTAAATTGACTAATTTAGTCGCTAATAGTTCGAAACAATTAACTTAAGTGATCTGTGCAAAGAATTTTGCTCATCTTTATTTTAACAAAAATAAACAAAAATTTTAAAATCTACACAAACAAAATTTTTTAAATTTTTGGTTGTTATTGAAATAGGAAGCATCAAATGCATTCTGTAACATAACGAACTAAATTTTAGATTGCCAGATTGAATTTAAGTTTTCTCCAAAAACGATGTGGCTTTTAAATAATTGTGAGAAAAAGCTGGACATGCTTAATTTACTGATGCCGATCAGCTAAAGCTAACCTAAATTGATCTAGCAGAAAAACAATGTCCGAAGAAAGTTACGATTAAGCGAGTTTTGAGCTCTGCTTGCAATTAAATTCAAGATCTTTCGAAAAAAACTATTTTAATACATTTGAACTTTAAAAAGAGACGTATCCAACGGACAGTTGAAACAAGGATAGCCGGTTACTGCTCATGTAGCACAATCTTCCCACCATAGTCTTATAAATACAACAAAAAAAGTTTTTTTTTTCAAATTGGTGTCGTTTTTTTGGCGACGTGTGATAAAAGGAGGTGAGCGAAAAAGTAGAGATTAGACATACTCGACGGCCATAGTAAAATCAGCAATTTGAAAAACGTTTTTTGTAGAAAAATGACCAGAAAAACGAAAGAAATAAAAAAAATTCCAAAAAGGCGCTAAATTAGTTTTAAATTAAGCTATTGAAAGCTTTTTAAGCCATTAAAATACGCGATTGTAAGCCTGTTCGCTCGCTTTATTCGCTCGAATTAGGCCAAAAACCAAAAAGTTCAGACCGGTTTTTCTCGACCCTAAGGGCTTTAACACGATATATCACTCAGCTCTCTCCGATTATTATTTGTGGTAGCTGATTTGGCGTGGAAACAAAAAAAAAGAGAAAAAACTAGAACACACCCGTATACAAAGTTTCTACCCGTTTTACACCATGGTCGGAACAAAAACTCATTTAACACAAGGAAATTGCAAAAAAAATTATTTATTTTACGAATTTCGGGGAGAAAACCTAACTAGTTAAAGCTATCTAAATTTCTGAACTTTTTCAGAAAAAATGCAATGTCCTGTAGTTATTCCTGTAGTCAAAAATTAAAAAAAACTTCAAAAACCGTTTTATGTAAAAAAAACAGCAAAAAACCTACAAAATCTTGGAACTACATATCCTGTAACATTTAAAGTTTCACGAATATAAAGCAGTCCATTTTTCAGAAACTAAGCCGGAAAAAAATGAGCAGACAGACTAAAGTCTAAATTAGTCCGGAAGTTTCATTCTGGCGAACAAAACTAGATTAAAATCCACTTTCGAACCGAAGTCATTCAATATTTGTCGCGCCATTTCCACTTTCAAATTCGAAGAGCTTAATTGGTCTTGGGCAAATAAGTTTGAATTGAATGTAAGAAATCAAAAACAAACCGCAAAAAAATTGCATGTGAAAACATTAAAAATTTTCTGAAAAAAAAATTAAAAAAATATGCTTGACCAATATAAGTGTCTTCACTACGTTAATTATACTTACATAACCAAAACACTGCCCAAATAAAAACACTGAAAATATGTTCAAATATTTTGAAAGTATGCAGTCAATCGTAATGGAAGCAATGTAATTCCTTTGCAGCTAACGTGGTTTGACCTCGCAGAAAAAGATTCCATATGAGCTAGTGCAATTAATTTGACTCCATTTGATATTCAGGTGGGAATCACGATGAACATCGACAGTCTGGGTCCGATAGATGAGGTGAACATGAACTTCCGGGTGGACATCTCGTTCAGACAGTACTGGCGGGACAGCAGACTTAACTTCAGCATCTACCCTGGCAACCAGTTCAACCACAACCTCACCCTCTCCCATTCATTCCTCACCCGCATATGGGTGCCAGATACCTACTTTCCAGACTCACTCAGGGTATTCAATATCAATTACACACTCTTGTTTCGAAGCATCAGAGCTTCATAGTTTGGTTAAATTGGATAGAAACTCAGTAGCAAAGTAAAATGGTGGCAACCAAAAAAAAAACAATAAGTTCATTTGTTAAGCTATGCGCATCAGAAGCTGGACATATAACAGTCAAGACAATAACACATGACTGTAAAGGTCTTTCCGGTTGACTAATGAACCAATTCTAGACTATTAAATTGAGCAAAGTAAACCATCGAGTACCATAAACCATTGACGATCGCCAAATAACATCGGCAATGTCTCCGCTAATTTGAAAATATTTCGAACGTTTTTTTTTGTGTTGTCTAGGCGTTCAAGCAGGACGTGATGGTTCCGAACGTGTTGATCAGACTGTCCCCAGATGGCAAGATCCTCTACTCCTCCCGAGTGACAGTGATCGCCAAGTGTCCCATGGACCTACACTACTTCCCAATGGACTCACAGGTATTCATACTATTACCAACTCTTCTATTACAACACTACCTACACCTAGAGCGCCCGCTCTTTTCAGCTGAATTCTATATTCATTTACGGACTTACTATTACAGCTCCTTACTATTACCATTTATCAAAAATCGATCGTCGGTAGAAGTTAAGACTCCTTAGAAGCCCTGCCCGATATGCAAGACTAGCATTTACTTCAGAAACCAGAAACCCCCTTTACTAAAAAATAATTTGCAATGTTTGTATTGTGAAGTGTTGCAAATCTGTGTTGTTATGTTAGACGTGTACTCTGATGGTGGAGTGCTATGGGTACACGTCGAAGGACCTCAACCTCTACTGGTATGTGGGGGACGACAGTGTAGACAACACCATCCGCAAACTGGCCCAGTTCCACCTGGAGTACTTCACCCTCGAGGAAGAAACACTACAGTGAGTGAGGTGGGGGGACTAAAAACCCTAAGTGAGAAAAATGATAATCACAGCCACATTTGAGGAACAGCTTCCGGATAAAAATAGGTTACAGAAAAAAGAAGCTGTCCATATTTTCACAGTGAAGCCTCGGTTAAACTGGACACTGGGTCACGTTATACACAATCACCTTAATTCAATTTTGATACGCAAAAATGTACCCAAAAAACGGCTTCTGACCTCATTCTGTTTTCAATCTTCACCATTTTTACCATGAGTAGCTTCTCGACTGGATCCTTCTCGCAGCTGCGAGTGCTCTTCCACTTCAAGAGAGACCTGCTCTACTTCATCCTGCAGAGCTACGTGCCCTCAACTTTCATCGTCATGTGCTCCTGGGTCGCGTTCTGGATCAACAGGTCCGGCATACCCGGAAGAGCCTGTCTGTCCATCACCACCGTCCTTAGGTACATGATAAAGATCTCAATATATTACTCCATAAAATTGTCTTGGTCAGAGTTAATAATGATCATATTATCCACTCGAACAATCTCATGATCAGACTCATATAAAGCAAGGCTTTCCTATGCAGTCCGGCACTTATGTATCGATGGATTTACGGTGAATATTAGGCCAATTTAAATAATCTAGCTTTGTACAGAGACAAAAATTCTAGAAAACTACAGATCAGAGAGAAACTGCTGTTCAAGCAGTGTCAGAATCTCAAACGCGGACAAATAATGATTTAAAAGTGAGTTCAATTGTGGTACTTTTTCGTTCCAGCTTGATCACTCTAATTGGTTCCACGAACGCGAAGCTGCCCAATGTGTCTGCAGTGAAGGCACTGGACGTGTACTTTGGCATTTGCTTCGTCTATGTCTTCGGGGGACTCCTCGAGTTCGCCACTGTCATCTATCTCGAGACGAAAGAGAACAAACTCAGCGCCCAACGCAAGGCTAAGGCATGTGATTCTAATGCACTTCTTAAATGATAATGTTCTATACTAACGAGGTAAAAGCAACCACGAATAAGCTGTTCAGCTCCGTGAGTTGTGCTTCTGATCAAGCCTGCAACATTTTGAAATTTTAACCACGAAAGGTCCCGATAAAAAAAAACAAATTCAAATCAATCGAAAATTTTGAAGCAGGGCACTAAGTTACACGAAATAACACCCGGCGTACTACTTTTTCGCGTACTACTTTTAGTTACTCGATCTGAAAAAGGAACGACTAACTGTCGGACACGATATTGTGTTCTCTGATTACCTAAAGTGACAACTGATAAAAGGTTTGATGTCTGGATTTAGGAGGAGGAGTCCCGGAAGTATCGGGAGAAGATGCAGAACACGACTGAGAAGCTGCTGCTGGACGAGATAGAGACCAACTTCTCCCAATCTATTCCCAGGAGAGTGAGCAACGTCAACGACACTGTCGAACATCAAGTGAGCACCCTTTCCTTCCCCTGTATTGAAGTTCTCAGTTTTCACATCAAGTACAAGCACTTGATGTGTAACAAGAGTGCTTCAAAGACAAAAAACTATTATCAGAATCCGAGAAAAAGAACGAACATTGAAATTCTTAAACGCAATTTAATCAATTAAACTTTGAATTCATACTCCAACTAATGATGAGCGAATAAAAAACATCGTTGCGTTGTCTGAATGAAAGAAGTCCTTTTATTTTCCAGGCACGGTCAATCCTACTCGAGTACAAATCCATGAAACTATCCGAGAACATTTCCTCACTCAACACGGAGAGCATACACTGTGGTGATCTAAATCAGGACGCCACAAACAGAAGGATCAGTCGGGCCCCTTCTAAGTGGACAGCCTCCAGGATAGAAAAGTACTCCCGGATCCTATTCCCCACCTCATTCGTCATGTTCCAGGTACCTCGCCAGTTGCGAACAAAATGAGAAGAGTCATTTGCTGAACAATAAGCGTACCATATTCCGACCGCAGTTACTTTTAGAAAAACAAAAAGGACAAAAAATCAGATCGGTCGGAACAGTTAGTAGGGGTTATACTTGTAACTCAATATGCAAAAATCTGAACATAACCATTACAATTCAGGTTACATGATTTATTTGGATTTGGATTTTCTACTTTAAGAAAATGCTCCAAAATAACAAAAAACGTCTTTTAATTTCATCTGACAGAGAAATACTCAATATTACACTTGCTATATAAGGCTTCTTTTTAAGCTCAGAAAATATATATATATTTAAGTTTTCAGGCCAAACTGTTTGTAAGACAAAACAGCAATCGATGAGATTCTTTTTCTTCAGCAATGAAGAGCATGCACCCATTGTACATTTAACAAACTCTTGATTTGTTTCAGGTGCTGTATTGGATATACTACAATATCAAAGAGAGCCACGAGAAAAACAAGTAGCCTCCTGTAGTTTTGAGTAGTATCTTCAAGATGCAGTAATCTAGTAAAAACCAAAATTCAAAGACTGTTTGAAATTATCTATCCGGGCCTTGATTCGACTAACGCAACAAATAAAAACTCATAACAATTCTCATTAAAAAAAAAGTTTCTTGGGTTTGATCTGAATAATTTGAATCGAAACTTGGCTCAAAAATGTTCAATGTTGTTGTAGGGATAACTTATCCGAATGTTCTTTCTTACTAATTGATTTATAAAAAAGATTTCTACGAAACAAAAGAATTTTTAATAAACTTTAAGCAAAAATTACATTTTTTTCAAAACTAGCACAATCATTGCGAAAAAAAAAACAGAAACAAAATCATAATTCAGATTATATCATTGGATCAAATTGCCGCCATAAATTCATTTTCCGAAATATAAATTCATCATATTGGTCATGTATTTATGCTGTGCACTTCTCAAATACGTGTAATGGTACATAGTCGCCTGCTGGTTCAAAACTTGATCATCTTTTCCAACGACAGGACTGAAATTCGAACTAGCTGGCACAAAATTTCCATTAGAACCCTGAAAATTTGCCGTCTCTTCGGTTTGGATTTTGACATCGGACACTTCTCGTGTTTTCTCAATGTCAGTTTGACTAATTGCATTTTTAGAGTCGACTTTTTCTGATGGAGGCTTAAAGAAATTTTTCATTTGTAGTTTTTTAACCGGGACTTTTTCAACTAATTGCCACTCTGGCCGATCTTTAAACTCTCCAGTTTCATTGAAGTGAGAAAAATGTTCAGAGAAGCTATCAAAAGTGAATTCATCAACGTTCAATTTGACTTTTTTGACTGAACTGGTAAACATTGAGTTGTACATTCGAACAAGGTCATCCATTTCTGTGAAAAGATCTTTTGGAATTGTCAAATTCTGCTCGTTCACCTCAGCTTCGGGTGTACTTTTTTTCGTTATATGTGAATCATTTTGATTCGAAATTCCGCTTCTTTGTTTGGTTTTTGCCAAGTTTTCTGTATTTTCATCAGATATATCATTTTGATCTTCGATATCGAAGGTGAATCTTTTAAACTTCGTCGTCAATTGAGCTTCAAATTCCGAAGTCTCATCAGCTATTAAAGTCGAAGGCAACTTAACCGAATCATCAACAAGCATAATATTGTCCAAGTTACATCGCCTTGCAATCGAGCGCACTTTCTGAAACTCTTCTTTATTCGAACAAAGCGTGAAGGCTGCCCCTTTGTCCCCAAATCTACCTGCTCTGCCAACCCTATGTATGTACGTTTTCCAATCATGCGGAATATCCACGTTTATTACAAGGTCTACATGTTCAAGGTCGATGCCTCGTGAGATCAAATCGGTACATATGAACACTCTTATTTCGTAACTCTTCATTTTGCGCATGTTTTCGATTCGCTCGTTTTGAGTCTGAGATCCGGCGATGAATGAAACTGCCCAGCCTAAAAAAGAAGTCTTCTTGTTTAGAAAAACCACAAAGCCCAAATGCAACAACCAGTAAACACCAAGAGCGCAATAAGCTACTACTAGTCATCAGTGACTCATATTCTTTATCTTTGAATTACCCCTTTGAGCAATGAATCGATTCGCGTTTAGCTAACCTTTGCTTTTCAAAATGTGACTCATTTCTTCAGCATGTGCATGTAGATTACAAAACACCAGACACTGGTTGAATGCAACCACTTTCAGCAAATCATCTATCGCTTTGCTTTTCTCCATAAAAACCGCCACTGCTTTATCCTTCTCCTTTGAATCTTCCTTTCTCTCTACGTAGAGCACAAGTTGTTTCACACTTAGCAAGGCCATTGAGTCGGTGTCCAGGCGTACATACATGGGATCCCGCATGTAGTTCTGCAGGAACTTGGCCAGCTGTTCTGGATACGTGGCAGAGAGGGCCATCATCTGCTTCCGTTCCGGCAACACTGAGCAGATCCAGTTCACTATTTTCTCGAATTTGTCATCTAAACACAATACCGTTATAGCCAATACAATACGTTGATGTTTTATTTGAGTTTTGATACTTAACCAACCGTTTTAAAGACTTGTTGTTCCGACCAGACCACAAGTTTTTTTTAATTTGAGATTTTTTTGTGAAAATCATCCCCCCACACGCCATATTAAGTACAACGCGATAAATTTCGCTTCTTGTAACATCAATTTGGCAAATAAGCTTCCTTTAACCAATTTGAAACAATTTTTAAGACTGATCAAATCTCCGCTTACGCGTGAATAGCGCGAAATATATGGTGCGTTAATTGTCCCAAATTAGCCAAAATGGCAATTTTTAAACCCCGTTTTTTTTTTTACAAAAAAATGATCACAAATGAAATATCTTTCCAAATTAAAGCTCAGGACAACAATACTTTTCGAATGATATCAAAAAAAAGTCCCGTCAAAAATTGCTAGTTGAAAATCCCAAATTTGTCTGAAAAAAAACCAAACCGATCACAAATATTCTATAACTTTCGTTACAAAAGTCGGAACAATACTAGTCTGTGATAAAATCCTTAGCATTGGCTGTACTTAATAGCTAGTTATTGATCAAAAAGAACAATTTCAAAATGAACACATTTTATCGCAACAAAATTTGCGACTGAGGTTGAAAAAAAAAAACGATAGTTCATACTATAACACAAGCATTGCTTGTGTAAAAATCAATTTTGAGACCAGGAGTATCACGATGTGACATCTGCTCACAGTGGCCTGTAATTTAACTAACACTATCCACCAATAAGACAGCAAAAATGTTCCGGATTTAATTCACCGAGATGACGATTAGGAGCGTTACTCACATTTGAGGAGAAAACTACTTCATGCTCTTTCAATCAAATCTTTTTCTCAGATTTGGCTGGGTAATTTTCTAAAAAAAGTGAAAAAGATGCAAAGACGATCAAAAAATTGACTTTTGCTACATCCATTAATTTTTCCTTACTAAAGCATGGGAAAAACCTCTTACACAGAGAAAATTTCCATCCCCTGATTTTTATATTGAACCATTAATATCAGATTTAGCTTATAGTTTTCAAGAAAAGCTATGAAATTTCTAAAAAAAAATGTAAATTTTTCCATAAAAGGATTTTCCCGAAGTCCATATCGTCTTTTCTACAAAAAAAAATAGGGAGAAACATATTACACAGGGAAAATCTAAGTACCATATTAGTGTGAATGAATTATCGACCTCAGAATCAGCAGGTTCGTTTTTCAAAAAAAAACAGCTTACAAAAAAATGGCAAAATTGGACATTTTCTAAGGCCATACTTTATTGAAAACGCAAGGCATAGCTGCTTGCGCAAGACTTGAAAGATTCACATAACTGTTTTTTTCTTTCGGTTAGCCCATAATCTCCGATGTGTCAGGTCAGTTTTTGTGAAGTTTTGAAAATTATATACAAAATTATACAAAGTTTGCTTGGGCCATAACTTTCTTCTACAAAACATAGGAAAAAACCGTTTGAGAGGGTGAGATCCCCATGATTTGTTCGTTAAACCTTCATCTCAGATTTGTGCATTTAATAATTGAGAAATGAAAAAATTCAAAACAAATTATTCAAAAAATCCCCCTAGTGAAACTTTCGAAGGCCATAGAACGTGAGGTAAAATGAAAAGAGACTACCGACCCGTGCAGACACGTAGAAGAGAAGCCTATTTGTTTCCACTGGTACCATTTTTTTGAAAAACGGTAGTAGTTTTTGAGGAAATTTATAAAATCTGCGGAAAGTCGCAGAAAAGCAAAGAACCAATTCCATGCATTTTGATAACACCTGTTTTTTCAAACAAGACCTCACGCCAGTCAAAAATAAAGCAACAACATATGCTATTAAATTTCCTATGCTTGAAAAGGCTTGAATATGAAATTGGTTATGAATATGTAAATTGAAATATACCAAAACTGCCACCAAATGAGCATTTTTATTGCGACTTACATTAGAAAAAAATTCTTCGCAATAATACACTACGCATCGCTAACTGAAAAACAACAAAAGAATTTTTTCTTTTTTTTTAATGTAATTTTTAATTATAAAACTCAAAGTAGTCGGAACATTCCGTGTTACTTGCACATCGTCCGGCTGTTATTTTTGGATCTAGTTATATTTAATTGAATGAACCGTGAGTCATATGGAGCTCTCAAACTATCCTCCAAATGTAAGAAATCGAAAAAAAATGTTTTATAAACCTTTCCGAAACATTTCTCTGTGCAAAATTTCGACACAGAAGCGAAGCATAGCATTGCAACACATTTGATATCACACATAGCATTGCAAGCTGCCAGATGGAAGCCATTAAAACATAAAATAAATTATAAAAAATGTCGAAAAAAAACTACACTCTACGAGCGTGTCTCGGAAGACATTCAATTGAGGAAAAAAGTGGCATAACTCCCAGCTTTAAAGCAGCACAGAGACAAACTTACCGAGCAGTAACAGGCAGCCAATACTTAGATAGCGTTGTAGCATAGGACTATGGACGAGACGAAATCACCGTACAAGACCGAAATAAACCAACACAATGCCGCCTAGAGTCCGCGAGGCTACTACAACAACAACAAATAACAAGAAACCTTTTTAATGTTAGATACGTCATTAAAATACGGTAAGAACTCCCGAGCCTTCAAACAAAATCCGAGCTTTGGACTGTATGCCGACTAAAGATAAGCAGACAAACCATAGTCAAAATATTTCAAAAAACATTTCATGAAAAATATCCTTCAGGTATTACTTCTGCTGTCCCTCGAAATTTTGAACCTAGTAAAAGCTTGTATTCCTCTGAAATTCGAGTCTTCAATCTACATAAGATAAAAAACGAGCTTAAGAATGAAAAAATATTGATCGAATCACGAGGGAAAAGGCCTCAATTTGATATATCTGGAATCTGGAACCTGATTTTGCATAGAATAATAATTAAGAAAAACCAAAACACCCAAATACAAGTTCCTCACCGCTGCTCACAAAAATTTAAAGCGTCTTGTCAGCTAACTTTATTTATGATGCGGAATATTAATTACAACAAGTGACCAATAATGCAGCTTAGCTCATCACTATTATCATGTATGGTTATTATTCTTCAGCAGACCATGGGTTCCTCAATTAACCATGGTCTGCTTTAGTGGGGACAATTCCCATGGATCCTCAAATGTAAAGAGTTAAAATAATTGCCAAATACCTCATCTGTAAACATTGATGTAATTTTCAAACATTCTAGTGACATATTCGAGTAGTTCTCTAACTGTGAAGTGCGCTCTGATCGGATCATCATCAAATTTCAACTTACCGAGTAGTTTATCTGCCTCGTCTAACACGAACATTTTCAAGCCACTCAAGTCCAACTTCCTCTCTTCTATCAACTGCTTCACCCTCCCCGGAGTGCCCACCACAATCTGACACCTCTTCACCTGCAGTGTAGGCATAAATGTATTATTTAATGAAAAATTTCTCCAAGCTTTACACCATCATAATGCAATAAAATTCGTCCTTTTTTCAAATCTATTCGTTTTCAATATATCGCACATAGATAAACAATAATAGTTTTCAAAAAAGGCTTCTATCAGCGGAAGCATAGATTGATATCATAATTAACGTTTGCAATTTATACGATAATGACGTTTAAACGCCATTTAAGTTGTGTTAGTTTTCAGTCAAAGACAATATGACACCTGGTTGATGTCCTCTTTGAGGGACAGTCCTCCGATGAAGCTGCGACACTTCACTTCACTCAAGTCTCTTCCGATTGAGTTGATGACTTCTTGGATCTGGATGGCAATCTCGCGTGTGGGTGCCAGCACTATTACCTTAATCACATTCAGGTGACGATAGACTGATCGCAGTGTTGAAAAATAACCTAACTCAGAGAAAAAACTGTTGAAACTCAGCATTGAGAATAAGTTAATACTAGTCAATTCTGAATAAAATTTATAAATTAAGAATACAATAAATCTTAACTTCCATCGACTGCTCAATATGGAAAAAAAAGAAATATTAAGATTTTATTCGGTTCTCTGAAAAAAATAAATTTTTTCGGAGTCCGAATCACACTTTTTTTATAAGTTTTTTGGGGTATATTAAATCGTACTAAACGAAACAAAAAATTCTCACGTTGTGAAGTGATCGTGATAACAATCTTAATTTTTTGAGCTGTGAAATCAAATACCGATACTAGCTAATAAAATTTCAAGCAACAATGCATAACTTGGGACACTGTAATTTAAATAACAAAAAGTAAAAAAAAAATATTTTTCATTTCAAAAATGATCAGTTAAATAAAATTATAAATTAAGAGCCTGAAATGTTATTGTCCAAAATTGAACAAAAACGCCCAGCTGCAGTGCAAGTAGCACAAAACTTTCCCATCAAACTGATTGGAGAAAAAAAAATCAAAATGAAAGAAACAATAGTAACTCCGTTTTCTGAAGCAAATAACTTTTTAAAAAATCGATGATATTTTTGGAAAACAATTTTTTTGTAATTTTCTTATTATAGTGGGAAAAATTGTTTTCTACCCTAATCTGCTACAATAACATCGTGAATTTTAATAAATCTGCTTAAATCTAAAGATAAGATCTGTTTACAAAAAAAAAACAACTCTAAAAGAAGAAAAACATACTTTTTGAAGTTTTTCATGAAACTTGAAACTTTTCTTTGAAAATTTTCTTCTTTTCTTTACGTTTTTCAAACTAGTTTTTCTGACGTGCAGAAAGCAGCCAAGTGATTTGGTGGACTGTACCCTTAAGTAAATTTTTTTTTCCAGTTTCGCCTTTTTGTTCACTAAACAGGTAGAGACGCTTTGTTAGCCCATAATGTCGTACTCTTTCTATCCCATATATCCCATAATGTCGTACTCTTTCCTCTTTTGATCTCAGATTTCTCATGTTAGACACTTTAAAGAATCTTTTTGGGAAAATAAGGTAGAAAAAAACTGATGATTATTAATATTCACCATATAAGGGCAGACACTTTCTCGGATTTTTTTAAAATTATATTTGAAATTGTGACAAATATATAATTGCGGAAATAAATTCTTTCCTTCTTATTTCTTTCTTCGACAAAAAAACGTCTTCAGAAAAAAACTGAAGAAGATATGTCGGAAAAAAATCCAAAATTAATAAAAGAAAAATCTGAAATGCAAAAACGAATTTTTGCTTGAATTTAAAGAAATTTGAAAGATAAAACATAGCCATCAGACAGTTGGAAAAGAGTCAAGGAACGCAAGTAAACAGAAAATAATAATCTATTTTTTTTGAAAAAATCCTACCCTTCGAACTTCAAAGAAGCTCTTCAAATTTCCAGACCATATTGTACTTGACACTTTTTTGATGAAACTAAACCAGTTTGACAAAACTGGATCAATAGATGAAGTTCTTATTTCGCTGAGAAACTCGATAATTAAATTCCACTTTCGAAACTAGAAGTAGATCACACTTTTCGTGACCTTTATACTTTCGCTGTTCGATAGTGCAGTTTGCCTTCCTTTCAACAATGGAAAAGGACTGAATTTAAAAAGAAACCAAAATTAGAACCGCAAAAATATATTTTTGAGCCTGAACAAATTTTGAGACTTTTCCTGAAAAAAATCAACGCGACCTATATAAGAGTCAAAACTACGTTCATCTCCCAAATTATAGACGCATTGTATTAAGTCAACATAGGGACTACTTAAAGACTTCTTCTTACCACAAGGAACACCAATTAAATTATGCACAGATAATCAATTTACCAATGGTCGGTTTGCTGTGTTCAATAACAAAAAATTTTAGGCGCTTTCGGAAAAAATCAAAAAACACAGAAAAAAAACTGAAAAACAACAAAAAACTTTTGTTACGTTTTCAAGAAAATTGAAAGATTAAAAAAAACGGTCAGTTCTCCAAAATTGTAGTGGTACTGTATCAAGTCAACATGGGGACTTTTTAAACATGAACCACGTGAAACGCCAATTAAATAATGCACAGATTATCAATTTACCAATAGCCGGTTTGCTGTGTTTAATAACTAAAAACTTTACGCGCTTTCGGGAAAAAAAATCAAAAATCAGTAATAAATTCTGAAAAACAACAAAAAAGAACATTTGTTACGTTTTCAAGAACTTTGAAAGAATTAAAAAATGGTGAGTCCTCCATAATTTTAGTGGTATTTTAACAAGTCAACATAGGGAATTCTTAAACATGTGTCACAAAAAACGCCAATTCAATAATGTATGGATTATAAATTTACCTATCATCGTTTGACTTGTTCAATAGGAATGTTTTTAAGCCATGTCGAAAAACGCTACTGGAAAAAGCGCATTTCCTTTAGATGTTAGGTTTAGTAAAAAAAACTTGCTAAATTGTTGTTTATTAGTTTCTCCGCCATCATACCTGTGGTGATTTGATTTCCGCATCAACGGTTTCAAACGCTGCAACAGCAAACACACAAGTCTTCCCAGTACCCGCTTTAGCCTGAACAATCAAATCAGCTCCATACCTCGCCAATGGAATAGCCTTAGCCTGAATCGGCGATGGTTTCTCAAAGCCCGCTTTATTCAGTGCCGCTACGAGAGAATCCGAGAGACCAAGTCGGTTGAATGAGTCACAGTCTTCGTCAGCCGAGGTGACATCCTTAGAGCGGAATCTGTTTTTAGAGTTCAAACCCACCACATTGCTGTCTCTATTTACTTTATCCGGCATTGTCCACTCAATTAATCGCTTACAGTGAAATTATCATATTCACTTCTGAAAGCGAAATCCTTTTCAGAGATGTCAAACTGATTGAAATCTTGTTCTTACCAGTTTTCAGCCAACCGAATAGAAACTATTAGGTTGGAATTATTTAGTTGCCTTTTTGATTTCATTAAATCCGACAAATCAAGAAAAGTTTCATTATCTGATTATTCCTGCGGAGAAATCTATGTGTAGTTGATTGAAAGATCTCGGGAACAAAATAATTTTGCAATATCTTCAATTAATAATTTGCATATCTAAATTTAAAACAATCTAACCAAAACAACAAAATAGATTCTCAAATAAATGAATACACCACTTTTCAGTTTCATTTCACTTCAAATGATGTGAATAATTCTCTCCAGGCGTTTCTTTGTGTCCTCCTGTTGAAGCTGTTCAACAGTCAACAGCGACAGGCCAAGTTGCGTTTCCCTCGAAACCGGCTGAGCCATCTCTCTCAGAAACTTCTTACTCAGATGAACCGCTTCTTCTATGCTCAAATTGATAGTGCTGTCTTTGAAATGCTCTTGAATCCACTTCGGTAATTTACCTCTTTTGTCTGCTCTCGTGAACCTCTTGTCGGCAAAAATCATAATTCCGTAGTCTGTTTTTCCCCGCAACGCCCTTCCGACGCACTGCGCAGCGTGTCGCATTGCATCGAAAGTGAGAAACTCGTTTTCTTTAATATTAAAATTTTCTCTGAGAAACTCTAAACGCGCCTTTAGAATCCGACTTTGGGTATATACGTAAGGTATTCCGAACATAATTACACATCGACCTAAATGATCGGTGAAATCAATTCCTTCTGAGACTTTTCCACGAGCTACGCAGAGCAACACGGCGCCTCTGCCGTTTGCACAAGCTTTGTGGTAATTCGTCAATGCCATGCTCGTTTCAACCGCATCCTGAGTTTCGATGAATATCAGTTTATGTCTCTGGACATTATCGAGGATTCCTTGCGGTGATATATTACACTAGGAGTACTTTTTCCACCTTATTTTGAATTTAAGATGAGGCAATTAAGTTAAAAAAATAGTAAGTATTCTTAGCAGGGGCGGATTTAAGGGAGGGACGCCTTCTTTTCTCAAGGATTTTACCCCCTCACCATCACCGCCCACAGGACGCCCTTTGGAACTATTTTACGGGATCCATTTTCGGCCGATCAACCCTGAAATTTTTCAAAAAGTGCGAATAGATACTAGATTTGAGAGCGAGCAAGCGCATATTTTGGTCAGAAACGTTCCAAAATGAGCCGAAAAATGTTTTTTTTTGCCCTGCTTTTACTACAAAAATTTACCAGCGAAGAGAACTTGGAAACTCAATTTGGTTAACCAAAAAAGGTCATGGAAATTTTCAGATATATTTGAAAATCCCCTTTCCTTCGAGAAAATCTTAAATCCGCCCGTGATTTTTAGTATTTACTTCAATTATCTTCCTTTTTGCCTGCTACTCATAGTATCAGTGGTCATCTAATTATTTTTTCAACTACATCCTTCCAATATTTCAGTCGAGCATTTGAAAAGAAAGAGTAGCTTCTACTGTAATATTGCACCCACCTTGGTTGTACCAATTGGATATAACTGTCTCCATGTAAGAGTAACTGGTGAAGAAACATACCATACCATCTGGCACTATTGAGGCCATATCAACCAACAGACAGCCATAATTTCTAATCACGCTAGCATCCTCGCGTGCCTCGAACTTAGAAGACATAATACCCTGATCGTTTCCTTTACTCACAATCAAAGGCGCAATACACTCCCTTGCTAAACTCATAGTTAGTGAAGCCATAATGCACGGTCGGAAGTTGAGAATTTTCGGGTACATTTCAATCGGAGACAATGTGCCTGAGGTTATTATGACAGATTGAAAAGCGTTGAAAACAGGTTTGATAGAAAGAGAAGCATCCATGCAACTAAAGTAGAGAATTGGATTCGAAATAGTGGGCGTTCGGTCATCGAAAGGCTCAATGACAATCACAAACCCATTGCAGTATGTGCTCAAAAGGGTTGCAAAACGACAAATGGATGAAATAGCCGAAAAGTCTTGAATATTTGTCAGTTCTAAAGTACTCATCATTGACTTAAGTCTCGTCGCACAGAACTTAAGAGGCTTTTTATCAATGCAAACGGAATCATAACAATCTTTCAGAAAAACTGAAGGTGTTTCAACCACAACATGATTAACTCTCATCCTAGTTTTGATGTACTCTACAAATCGTTTCAAGAACTTCACAAAATGCTCTGCACTTCGAATCGTCCCAGGAACTGCTTCCTGCAAAACATCATCAGGTAATACTGGATTCGCTAAGACGATATCTGTTTCCCTCGCAACATTAGCAAGTCTCAAACCTTCAACTAAGGCCTGGTACTCATTTTTCAACTTTTGCTGGTCAACAGCTTTGATTCGATTGACTTCATTAGTCAGTGAGGTAATGTTTTGTATACTTCTATCTATGAGCCGCGAATTGATACTACAACTCATCGATTCAATGCACACCGAGTCAATATTATGTGCCTCGTCGAAAATAACAACCGCGTTTTTAGTCAAATCTTTCGAGATGATATCAGCGATTTTGGGATCCAGTAAATAATGGTAGCTATAAACTATCAAGTTTGCTCTTCCCAAGGCATTGCGAGCTAGAAAATAAGGACAGAAACCTTTGCGACGACCGTAGTCTTTCAAATCATCAAGATCATACACTCCTGTAGGTAAGGGATACTCTTTACCAACGGCGCTAAACTTCTCGTAAAATTGACAAACCGGAACAGACTGATCGTTCTGCGCTTTGTCTCTGACGAAAGGAGCCGTTAGAGAAAAACATTTCGAGTTCACAATTTCTCCTTCTCTGTAATGATTCACTTCTGGATTAATGCATAGATTTTTTCTTGAACTCAAAGCCAAAGCCACAACATTAGACTCTTCGTTCGTTTCTTTGAGATATAAATTCATATACCGTTTCATTTCGGACAACACCTTTTCAATTTCTGGCACTGTTCTGGAGCAGTAGATGACTTTTGAAATGATGCCAGGATATTGGCGATGGTAGGCTAGAACAAGGGAGAGAAGCGAGACAGTTTTCCCTGTTCCAGAGGGCATTTCCAGAAGACAGTGGCCTTTGGCGTCCAGAGTTCGTTTGAGTTCCTGCATGTAAGAGAACTGCTCAGGGTAGATGTAGTCATAAGGAAAGAATACGAGCAAGCCATCGACATTAACTTTCATTCTAGAAATGAAAGACACCATTAGTGATGATTGGTTTCAAAAAATTCGTTTGGTTCGTAATGAATATAAAAAATATACACAGATGCGAATATGAAAAATAGGCATAAAAACTCTTGAAAAATAAAGACAGAAGCAATAAAAAAGTGCAGAAGGGATCTTCGTTTGCAATAAAATGCAAAAAAAAAAAAAGCTTTGAACAATGAAAAAATTTTCCCCATACAGTTCGAACATCCGATCTAGATTTAGAGTTTAATGTCTTGACAGTTGCTTTATATGCTTTTACTGTCTTTCAAACTCCAGGCACCAATAAAGCCGACAAACACATGCGGATATAACACATGACCAGTACACATATTTTGAAAATGAGCATTTTTATTGAGTAATAATTTATGCGAATCAGGTTTAAAAAAGGAGAGCAAGTTGCACTGCAAGTAGCCCAGAATGCTCCGACCGCAGTTTTAAGATAAACTTCCTTTTATCAAAATTAGGTTAGTTTTGTTTGTGCGTGGTGTGAGGGAGAGGATCTAAGAGAACGCTAAGATCACTAGCACTGGCCTTAGTTTACAACAGATGAACTTCAAAAATGAATGACAAAACAGACAGAGAAGGAAGTGCTACATGAAACTTCAATAACTAGTTTTCTTTTTGAGTTGTTCATAGCTTAACATAATTTTCAAGCAATATAATTTACTTGCTAATTAGGGCAAAACAAATGACCGAATACCGAGAAAAATTTTGAAAAAAAAAATTTCATGCCGATGAAATCACGATTGAAAGAGCTCACTATGATATATTACTCAACCCAAAATGATGAAAAACTAAAACACCTAAAGACAAAGTTCATCCTAACTTCCAGTGGTCGGAACAATAAAACAAGCATCTGCTTGTGTAAATAGAAAACTAAAACCTACGAAAATTCGTCCAAAAAGTCATTAAAAATTTTTATAAAAGTAAACTAATATTTAAACCTATTTTTAATTTTTTTTTTAAAATTAAGGTGCCCTCTGGTTCAATTAGGGAAACAGAGGCGAAGCCGAGCTTCTCAACGCTAGCGATAAAAAATAAAAATAACAGTGCAAGCTGGCAGACAGGAAAAAAACCGACAGCTAGTTAGGCGACTTATGAAATATCAAAAATAATTATCGCGCGGCAACTGAGGTGACGAATCTTGATTTCTCGTATAACCGAAAATTAAATTGATGTCATGAAAAACTTTGAACCCAAAAATCTTAAGGGCCCAAGAGCACAGATATTTGAATTCATTATGAACCAAGACAAAAGTGATTCTGTTGAACAAGTTGTTAACCCGAAAAACGTCTATATTCCGATTTGATAACGGTTGCATAATTGAAAAATAAGCTGGCCAAAGAGTTTTTCACACGCCAATTGTCTGATGCGGTCAATTGATATACCATATCAAAGCTATTTCAGTTGTGATTCAAACTACAATAAAAACATATTCCATACTTATCGGTGTTGTGACTAAGAGGCTCCAAAAATTCGTTTTATGGGGCAAAGCATGAACAAATTTGACTTTTTCCACCGAAATAAGCTTAAATTACTTAGGCAAACCGTTATTTCTCCATGCAACATTTTTTCCTCGTCCTAATAAAAAACAGTTAAAAGTGTGTAGTTTACCGATATTTTTTCACAGGCATGACAGTAATATAGATAACTACAGTAAATTAGATTGAGTATCATTAGTAAAAAGAAAACAATTAATTTTTTCTTAAACAATTTTTTTTTGCTATGTTTACCATACCGTTGGTGTCTGAATATGTAGAAAATCAACAGAGCGGACCGGTATTTATCGCAACAGCCAAATTCTGTAAAACATTTTCACTTCGTCCTCCTAATCACCAATAAAGCTTTCTGATGTAATACCGCACTTGACTCACGAATCACTTTTTTGTGGTACGTAATATCCGACGGATAAAACACATACTCTGCCACAGTTACTTCCCAATTTTCAGTGTGTGCGTCACAATAAGAGCTTAAAGTTTACCAGTAAGCCACGCTTGATGTCAACTTACTTTAAATGAATGTAAAAATTCATATGCAAATATATATATGTCAGATAACTTCATCAGATTTTTTTTAAGTAATTTCTTGGGTTACAAAATTTTTGGCTTCAAAAATCGCTTGATTCAATTTAGCTCTTCAAAAAACCTTAAGAGACAGAGGTGACAAGGAGCTTCTTGAAAATTACGATACCACGCAAACATAGCATTTTGAGCGCAAAGAAAATGAGACGAAAACCACTAAGTCGAAAAAACACTTTCAAAAAATTTAATCTACAAAAATTTGTCTCGAATGATGTTCAGTTTGAAACGCAGAGTCGAAGCGGAGCTTCGCACCACTTGCAATACCAATTAAACAAAGAATGGCGAGCTAGCTGACTAAAATGAAGCGGAAATTTAAAAAAATGTCGAAAAGCCACAATTATAAAATTATGAAAGCCTCGAATATTGTTCAATTTGAGGAGTCACGCATTACAATTGTAGGTGTCTATAAAATTTGAAAATTATTCATTTTTCAATAATTTTTAGCTATAAAGTTTTATCATTTTGTATTTCCGGAGGGTGCCGGGCGTAAAAAAAGTGGTTTCATTTAGCCGGAGTAAATCAAAAACTTTTGCAACTACAATGAAAATGGCTTACTGCACAAATCACTTACAACATGTGAAGCGGCAACTAGGCTGACAATGCACAATCAGACAAACAAAACGCTGACGTTTATCAAACAGAAAAACTCCAGTTTGTAAGAAAAAACAGGTTCTAACCAGATTCGAACCAATTAACTTCGCTGTCACAAATGTAGTTTTTCGTTACCTATAGGCCAAGTGCGTAGGAAAAGCCCAGAAATTTGGTTTTAAACAGGGGCGAAGCACAGCTTTGCATCACTTGCGATACAACGCAAGCTAGCGAGTAGAAAATGTATACGGAAACAAAATCTTACTTAGAAAAAAATGGGAAAAACGAAAATAATATAAGAAAAACGGTCAAAAAACACAAACACCAGTTTTAAATGAGCTTTTAGCATTAAGCGCGCGATACCTAAGAGATGAAACCTCCAATGAGACAAAAACAAAAAGTAAAGAAATTGCTGCAAGAAAAAATACGTTTTAAAAATTTGAAATCTTGCAACAAGAACAAGCTAAATTTTTCAAATGAAAAATCAACCCGTTTTTGGATTTGAAGCGACACAAAATAAGGACTATTAATTTTACAAATTACAAGAGTAAATCAAAAACAATTGCATCTACGATAAAAATTGCTGACAGTACAAGAACATTACCCGATGTGGCAACTAAGGCGACAAATAATCATAAGCAGACAAACGGGCAATTCAATTTTTCCTGAAAAAAAAAAACACATTTCAATTTCCTAAAAACTGCCCGGCCAGAATTCGAACCCTAGAACTTAAGGTACAAAAGGCAACTGCGTTACGTCAAGTCCAAATGGGAAAGGTCTCGGAGTTTCAAAAATTCACTAATAACGTAACTTCACAATTTCTTACAAATGTATAAGATAAGTTGTTTACAGGGAAAAAAGTATAGTTCCCGATTACACAGCAATGCTCTCGCAAGCGTAAAAGTTATTCAAACTGTTAAATGAGCTGTTAAAACAATTTGTTTACCAGAAAATTAAGCATATATTCCGATTTGAAAATGTTTGCCAATGGCAACCGTAGACATGAATAGAAACACAACCACCAGCGTAAAAGCACCGAAAAAATTAGGGAGCCGTACCGAAGCCGACAGTAGTTGGGTAGACGCCCATCCAGTCAAAAAATGAACCGGTAAAATGAAACTATTTTGAGCTATTAAAAACAGCATTGAAATAAATAAGGAATAGAACGGATATCTGATATTCAGACATGATCAAAATATGTCTGATGGCTAACGAAAAAACAGATTTGAGAAAATGAATCCGTGATTCGGTTGAACAATTAATTTACAAGAGAATATTGTTCCTAAGAAATAACGCTAGCTAATTGCGAGCATAATAATTGCAAGCGTAATATTTCTTGGCATATGTATCTACAGTTTTTAAAATTTCACATAAACAATTCACAAAAATCAATGAAACTAGCAATTAACGCACCTTCGGTGCTTCGAAATTTGTCGACAACTCATGAAAAACCGCATATATTGGAAACAACATCTGCAAACTTTTAGTGTACTCTGACTGCACCCAATTACAGGGTTGGTAATTTCGAACTTTTAATTTTTTTAAATTCCGATTTTAAAAGCGTCATCTCGAAAACTTAAATGGCCTCTGGAGAAATGTGGAAGCCAGATTTGCAACCACTGAGAGTCCCTGAGAGCACCCTACTATAGGGTTAGGAATCCAAAATTTTGTGAATTTTTTAAAACCTAAGCTTCCCGAAAAAAAATTGAAAAAAAAACGTCTTATCTCGGAAACTAAAAGGATTCGAGCATTCATATTAAGAGGCAAGATTTGAGACGCCTGGGTGTACGCTGACAATAAAATTGTATCTTCATCAAGTTAGTAGTTTCAAATTTTTTGAATTTCTTTGTAGATGAGTTCTTAGAGAAATTTTGAAAAAATCGAAAAACGTCACATCTCGGAAACTACAAAAAATTGAGCAGTCATATTTCGAAGCAAGATTCGCAATCCTTGAGAGTACTCTAACAGGACCTAATTACAGGGTTGGGAATTTCAGATTTTGTGAAAAAAAATTAATATGAGTTTTTTGATTTTTTTTTGAAAAAATCACAAAAAAACGTCATATCTCGAAAACTACAAGGATTTCAACTGTCATATTTGGAGGCAAGATTTGTAATTCCTTAGAGTACTCTGACAGCGCCCAACTACAAGATTGCGAATTTCAGATTTTTAAAAAATAATTTAAGTTTTCTGAAAGTTTCTGAAAAAAATCACAAAAAACGTCATATCTCGAAAACTACAAAGAATTGAGCAGTCATACTTGGAGGCGAGATTTGCAATCTTTGAGAGAACTCTGACAGGACCCAAC